GCTCTACTTTATTCCTTGTTTATATATATATATATATAATTAATTGATGCATGATTGTGTTAATTAATAATGTCAAATTTGAACCTTAAAGTATAAGAAATATTTTTTACATCAGATATTTACATTGATTCAATAAAAATTAATGTATGAATAAAAATAAAATAAAAATTAATGTAGCATGTGAGATGATAACCGTTTTGAAATATATTGATATGAAATTTAAGATTGATTTAATAAAAAAATTGACCTGAAAAATACTTTTCTCATCAATTGTATCAGATTATCTATATCTATCTGCAAAGTATTTTTATTACATGTAATTGGATTTGTGGTGATAATTAGTTACTTAGCAATAAGTCGTTTTGATTGAGATGTTATTTGAAGCCCAAATAAGTGTGAATTTTGTGTTTTTTTTTAATCTTCTATTCACATTTCATGGCCCAAGAAAAAGAGTGTACCTCTTAATATTTTTTTTTAATTCTCTTCTCTCTAATGGGCCAACCGCACACTCCAACTCAATTCCAATTCCATGTGTTCAAACACTTGTCAAATGTCAACCCTTACTTGCATTATCCGTAAAACACTATTTAGTTATATATTTTTTATTCATCTCAAATACAACCATTTAAATTAATTACCATCAATTGGAATATTGAACTTAAGCATACATATCAATTTAATAGATATAGAGATGATAGATTTTTCATCAAATTATTAGTTTTATGTGATTTTTTTTCCCTAAATTTCATAAGTTTTATTTGTTTAATTTATTATTATTTAATAAAATAAAATCCTCATTATTTATTGCAGTGGGAGAAATGTCCTATTATTTTTTAAAGTACATTATTTTTTTAATCTTTAATTAATAATAATGATATTGCTTCTCTTGTAACACTATAAGTCGTAGTGTTATAATTATTTCAAGTCATTTTTGTGTGGTTAAGCTAGAGTGTTATTCATTGTTAAGAGACTTTGCAGTCTAAGAATCTCTTAGGAGTTTTCATGGTATTAGGGGTTTCTCTAGGTAGAGGGTCAGTTTAACCTAAAAGGAAGAGTATATGTAAGATTTTTGTTTTGAATAAAGTCTTGTAAACTCTTTTTCCCAAAAGTCTAGTGAGAGGATTCTAGAGAGGATTATGGTCTGTGAACTTCTCTTTTCTCTAAATCTTCTCTTCTTCCTTCCTTGATTCTCATTGTATTGTCTTGTTGGTGAATTTAGGTACTTAGGAACCTTGAACCGAGCTGTAGATCCATTTAGAGTTGTGTTGCGGATTGTTCGAAGTTTTCTTATTCTCCTTCCCTAGTTCTCTTCAATTCCGAGGTAAGGGAGGCTAGAATAATCACAAGTTGGTTGAGTTGCTAGCTAGTGAATGATTTTTGAGTTGTAAGTGGCATGAAATTTCAAAGATTGGTGGCTGTGTTGGAGAATTCGAAGTGAAAAGCATGTCAAAAGTTGGGTTTTGGGTGGAAAATGAAATGTGTTGATTTGATGTGAAATTGTTGTTGCATGTTAAATATGATTGCATTTTTAAGTTGGTTGTGATGTATATAGCCGTGAGAGGATTCTAGAGAGGATTATGGCTTGTGATCTTCTCTTTTCTCTAAATCTTCTCTTCTTCCTTCCTTGATTCTCATTGTGTTGTCTTGTTGGTGAATTTAGGTACTTAGGAACCTTGAACCAAGCTGTAGATCCATTTAGAGTTGTGTTGCGGATTGTTCGGAGTTTTCTTATTCTCCTTCCCTAGTTCTCTTCAATTTCGAGGTAAGGGGGGCTAGAATAATCACAAGTTGGTTGAGTTGCTAGCTAGTGAATGATTTTTGAGTTGTAAGTGGCATGAAATTTCAAAGATTGGTGGTTGTGTTAGAGAATTCGAAGTGAAAAGCATGTCGGGAGTTGGGTTTTGGGTGGAAAATGAAATGTTTTGATTTGATATGAAATTATTGTTGCATGTTAAATCTGATTGCATTTTTAAGTTGGTTGTGATGTATATAGTCGAGAGAGGATTCTAGAGAGGATTGTGGTCTGTGATCTTCTCTTTTCTCTAAATCTTCTCTTCTTCCTTCCTTGATTCTCATTGTGTTGTCTTGTTGGTGAATTTAGGTACTTAGGAACCTTGAACCAAGCTATAGATCCATTTAGAGTTGTGTTGCGGATTGTTCGGAGTTTTCTTATTCTCCTTCCCTAGTTCTCTTCAATTACGAGGTAAGGGGGCTAGAATAATCACAAGTTGGTTGAGTTGCTAGCTAGTGAATGATTTTTGAGTTGTAAGTGGCATGAAATTTCAAAGAACTGTGGCTGTGTTGGAGAATTCGAAGTGAAAAGCATGTCGAAAGTTGGGTTTCGGGTGGAAAATGAAATGTGTTGATTTGATGTGAAATTGTTGTTGCATGTTAAATTTGATTACATTTTTAAGTTGGTTGTGATGTATATAGTCGACTTGTAATGGTGCATGTGTGGAAGTTGTTGAGTTTCAGGTGGAATGAGCCAAATTCGCAATTTACTTAAGTGTAGAGCTTGCATTGTGCCCGACGCGCCTTTAGGACACTAGACATCATTCCAACATGAGACTTCTATCTCGATCACATTGGACACAGGATTAGTGACATCAAATGTGAGGAGAGACACTTGTCTTGGGTTGGGATAGCGTTAGACGTGAGAACATTGAGAGGTCTCTAATTTGGTGGCGTCGACCCTAAGGTGGAGTGACACCTAGCATGGCCAAGCTAGAGCTTTGTGTTTGGATGATGTCGAGAGCCAATATGGTGACCCTAGGTGTGATTGAGGCAGAGACTCTTTGCTAAAATGAGACCAAGCATGACACTTTACCATGCTAGTGTGAAGTCTCAAGGGCCTCTGTCTTATCCACCCCGAACGCGAGTTATGTAGCATTAGGCGTGGAGAAGGTAGAAAGTTCCCTACCTTGATGGTGCCGAGTGCAGAGCCTGTTGCGTTAGGCGTTGTTAGTAGAATGAGAACATGTTGATGTATGTGTTGAATTGTATAATATGAGATGAATAGATGTATATGTTGTATACTTTAAAGTTGTTAAGTGTTATTGTTCTATATATAATGATCATTGAGATGAATGATGATTGAGAAGTTGAATATGGTTGAGATGTGTGTTGTGGTTCTAAAGTTATGTGTTGGTTGTGTAGCTATGTTGAATATATAAGAAGTTGTGTTGTTGAGCTATGATAACCATCCTAAAACTAGATGAGAGATTTTCAAAAGTTGCATATCCCATTGTATGGATAATGTCTTGTGGTGCTCTAAGAGCCCAAATTTGTTGAAAATCTTTCTTGAAAAGTTGACATTTGAAGTGGATAGTTATGTTGAATCTCCTCTAGGACTTAGTTGGTATTGTGTGTGGGTAAGATTGAGGCACACATGTATGAAATAACCATAATATAGGGGTCAAGTCGAGCTATACTAATTACAAGTGACCAACCGAGTAAAGTAAGAAATAAGGAACTTAGTTCCTAACTGAGTATCAAAAAGACATAGTATTTAAAGGGTAGTCGATGTGCTAATCCTATATGAGGCTTAGTTAAGCTAGCTAATGTCATGGTAGGCCAACACCCAACTGTTCTACCTTGATAGTAGTATTATACTTCCTTGTTTAAGTGACAACATTCGAGAAACTTAGTTGTTGTATTGTGAATTTAGATCCAATTTGTTGTTGATCTAGCAAGCCCAAAAATATCACCTTGTGTTATTGGTTTAGTAAGGTCAAACCACTTAAATTACTCACCTTGTTTTGTAGAAGATTCTTAATTGAAATGTGTGATAATGCATGTAGTTATTGTGTTGTAAATATTGTGTTGTTGAGATGAACAAATTTGAGTTGTTAATATTATGATGTTGAGTTATGGTGTTGTAGCGGAATGAGCAATTCATGTTGATATATGTTGGTTGTATTGTGATGATGAATGTTGATAGTGTTGAAGATGAGATGAAGATGCGATGATGTATTAAAGTTGTTGATGTTTTATGTTGTATGATGCATATATATGTTGATGCTTAAAACTCTAGTTTACTCTTGTGTATTTCCATATGACTTGGACTACGATGATTATATGTAATATAAGAACAGGACAACGATAGGTACGAAGTTATGCAGTGAAGGCTATTCAGCGATGTTAAAGCTAGATGTCTTTTTGATGCTTACCTTTTTGGGGTGATTTTGTATAGATTTTAGAAGTTGCTTGACCAACAATTTAGGTTGTATAATTTATATTTATATGATTACTGTACTTATATTGCACATATTTATGTAATTATTTATTTTATATGTATGCAATATAGTACATATTCTTGTATCTATAAGTATATAATCTTAAGTTAGTTGTTGTTTTGTTACT